AAAAAAAAAAAAAAAAAAGAAAAAAAAAAGAAGAAAAAAAAAAAGCTGAAAGAAGAAAGAGAATTGTTGTTTAAATACGCGCTGGTACATTTGTACTTATGTAAAGAGCAAAAAGAAAAGTGACAAATAAAAATTTAGTTTAATCATAACGAATCTCTCTTTCACCGTAACGACATTCAAGTCTGTCGATTTTTCTTTTTTGTCCACGATCACAGATTACATTCACAACGAATTTACCAAATCTTGCAGACCGATAGTTGTCAACAATATTTCACCTGCAATTTCGGTATTACAATTTACTGGAATTATTCATAGATTAGATAAGATTATTCTCGACTTGGATAAAAAGAAAATCCGTTTCTAAAAACGATAACGCAAACGACGTAAAATGTATACCTTCGGCACGATAAGTTGCCATTGGATCTGTTGGAAACGAACAACCGACATTAATCTCCGACATATTAGCTGTTCCGATTAGTTTCGCCACGAATATGGCATCCATAAGCTTCACCGTTGATCTGTACATCAATCTAGCATGCCCTTCGGCCAGTCTGAAGGGAAAGAACACCTTCTTCTTCCTGTATAATACAAAACTTTATATCTGAAATATTTTCTCTCTCGTTACCTGATAAGACTGTCTAGAAGTCGAACAGTCGTTCTCTCTTCTCTTCTGTTCGGGCGAGATCTGTGATAAAGATAAGTCGCTCTCAGCACCATTTCTGCTTCCTTAGATAATTTCGGTTGAAGAGAATGCACATGAGCCAAGTACTCTCTCAACGTATCCTCCTTCCATAAGCCTTCTGTCTGTAGAAGGTCTATATGAGTCTTAGAATCTCTGCGAAGCCAGGAACAATCGTAGATGAATGGTAAAATTCGACGTTGCAACGAAAAGAACGACGATCTTGTAGAAAATTGTAATATACGTTTGAGTAGAATTTTCTTTCTTCTCGTAAGCAGCTCTCAATATGTGCTCTGACGTCAATCTATCCCATTCTGGGTTCCTGTTGTCCTTCAGGAGCAGGATCAAGTCGAAACGAGACAGAAGAGGATCTCCCAAATTCGTTTCCCATTCTTCGTCCTCGGTGAACTGGCCACCGGTTGGATTTATCGCTGCGATCACTGTACACCTGGAATTTAACGTGCTGACTAACCCAGCTTTGGCTATCGATATCGTTTGCTGCTCCATGGCCTCATGCACGGATGTTCTGTCGTTTGAACTCATGGTTGTGAACTCGTCCACGCAACAGACGCCACCGTCAGCTAACACCAGCGCTCCTGCTTCTAGATGCCATCCTTCTGAATCCTGTAACGCATACACTTCAGTTCGAACCACGATGGATATGTTGATTGATTTAACTGAGAACAGAAGATGGTGTGTGTTCAACTAACTCTAACTGCAGTCGCTGTAAGACCAGCTGCAGTCGACCCAACACCGGTCGTAAGAACCGATCTTATGGCCAAACGAGACGCTGCACGAAGCAATTGTGATTTGCCAGTTCCAGGATCGCCGACCAACAAAAGATGAGGTTCTCCTCGTACACGTGTTCCTTGTTTTATTTAATAAATGTACTTTTACGTTAAGAGGATAATAAATTGATTGAAGAAAGGAGAAAGAGAGAGAAGTGGTTATCACCTTCGTTGCATTTCGACACACCACCTGCTAGGATCACCGCTAGCGCTAATTTTGCAGTATACATCCCGTAGAGCTTTAATTAATTTCGATGTTTGAGTATTTTTTTATGGTTTTTAAGTGTTTATTATTTCGCGAGTTATGCAGTTGATACCTTTGGACAGATAGACGCGAGGATATTGTCTCTCCCGAGCAGAGGATCCTCGGTATAGTTTTCCCAATATTCTTTGAAAACGTTTTTCACATCCTGGGTTAAGAATGAATCGGATACTTTACGTCGAACCGTGACGCTGTTTGCCATTATTATAGTCGTTGCTTCTAAACGTTCACCTACATTTAAGGGACCCCATATTCTTATCACAAAACCACTGAAAAGTTTGTATCACAGATATTTCAGTTAGGAGAGGACATTTTTATTTTGTAACATGTACAGATTGTAATTACTTATTGACCTAATTTCAACATGATCTCCTGGCCTACATTTGTCAACTAGATCCTCTAGCAAGGCAATCCTCAGTTCCTCGGTTAAAGGCTTATTCGCATACACTCTAGCCTTTTCCTAATCAAAAGCACTTCAAAGTTAATCATGCCAACAGAGTGAATGATAATGATCAAATCAAGTTGATAATGTACTTGCACTCCTATTTCCTGGCAATCTGTGGAATCTTCTATATCAAAGCCAGACACAATACTCAGCTTTGTTGCATGGCACGCTTCGCACTGTGAAATATCTGCGAAAGCCTGTCTCTCCCATTCGTACTAAAAGGTGACAGCGTATGATCTACCAGCTAACAAATTAATCGTGAAATACGCGTAGCCTATCAACTAACTTTAGCCATAGTAACATGTTTGCACTTTTTACAGCTGTATCTTTGAATAACTCTTAACACTGTCGGTTGGGATATCCTTACTATAACGCCACTAGTTGAAACAAGTTGCCCAATTTGTCCTTGGTCGAATGTAACCGGCACAGCAGTGACTCTAATACGAACCTAATCAATGCATTCCCAAAACAAGCACACACAAGTGTGAAAAACTTGAAATAAAGAATTGCTTCAATCCTGAAATAAAAGTATTACTTTTTTTTTCACAATTTGTTCCGGTTTCGCTATTTCTTCCTGAGCCTCCACCGCTGATTCGTCGCAAAATGGCAAGTAATACCTAGGATACTTCAAAATTTTCTGTGCAACATCAGCATCTTCCTCGAACAACGACACGAAGCTACAAAAAGAATCGATCTCCGTACAATACGAAAATGAAACACAATTGAAAATCACTCACTTTATGTAGATGGAATAAAAACTGCCAAAATCTATATTATCCAAAATTTCTTCCAGTTCTTCTAAATGATTTTTTAATAAATATTTTCTCAACATTTTGAACGTTCGTAAGGACGCAGAATTCGAGGTTATACACGCGTTCTACTACCGCACGTACTACCAACTTCCCGCCAAAATTGTAAAAGTCACGTGATCTTCATTGACAGACGCTTTCATTGTGTATTCGGCGCGTATTCAATGGCCTCATTACGTATTTACGCAGAAATACGATTAATTTTTACAAATGAACGAGTAGATCCGATGAAAATTTATTAGAATGAACACTTGAAGAAGAAGAAAAAAAAAAAAGAAATAATTCCAACTAATATTAAACATTTATTGCTTCGTAAAATACACGATAAATGCGAAACGTTAATTGTTTCGTTAAACTTTCGTGAAATTCTAGAGAGAACCGAACAATTTACGAGCGTAAATACTCGAAAACCGTTTCAAATTTTACGTTCGCTAAATTCCTTCACCTTTTGCCTGGAGTTTAATAAAAAAGACGTATCGATTATTTGGTGGTGAAACGGCATTGGCAGTTCAGCCATTAATCGATTCCTGCGTCTTCCTATCCATCTCGTAATTCTGTTCCCGTAGTTTCGCGTGAAACTCTGCGGTAAAACTTGCCCCGCAACAGTGAAAACCTTTTCGGTGTCTACTTTTCGTCGTGGAAAACCCCCGACGGTCCACCGATCGTACCTTTCAAACAGACCTCTGTATAACGTGTAAATAAAATGTCTCCCCGTAAAACTAAAAGAATACCCTCTTTTCCCATTAACCTATCGAAAGAACACCGTCCATCCTTTTTCCTTCCTTCCAACTGATTTTTAATCGTATTTTATTACACTTCGGAGGAAACAACGAAAATTGCTTCACTCTATGGATTCTACACGCAGGTTGAGAGAATTGTTGTTTTATCTGGAACGGAGGTCGTTCGTTCATATTTCAAACGGTAGATCGCAGGTTAAACACACGATGCCTGTATCGGTTTTACGATGTCATTAGTAACGATTCCCTTTACGACCTCTTCCTAAGTTATAAATTACTCGCCGGATCCACCGTGGCTATGGGGATGGGAAACAATGTAATTAGCGTGGCTGTACGCGTAGCAAATATACGTTTGCACACGGTTCTATACGTACAATTGCCCTCCGCACGATCTTGCCTGTCCGGTTCCGAAATAGAACAACTCTCGCGAACTAACGTTCGAACTTACCCCTAACATACGTTCATCTTTAGAATGCACGCGAAATTCAATCGTATATGTGCAAATTCTGATTAACAATTGTTCGACGACGTATCTCGAAAATATCGCGTTACCAAATGTGACGGACGAAATAATATTAAATGGCAACGAAAAAAAAATGAATCATAAAAAATCGAAGTTTGTAAAAATTTTCCGAGAAGTGAAAATGGAACGAAAAATGATGGTAGATCTACGCGAACGTTCGTCGAAACGTTAATATTTTCAAGGAATCCGTCTGGTCTAGTTATTTTCCCACTGGAAAATGTCGCGAGACGTAAAATTTCCCTTGTCAATAATTCGGACAAGTGTAAATTGTCGGCGTCGGGATCGTGTGTGTACACCGCATATCCTGCGAGCACGATTCTATATAAGTTGTCAGCGACAGGCAGCCGTGGAAGGTTTCCAGGTGAAATTACTACGAGTCGTACAGTCGTCGCGACAGAAACGTGTTACCGGAGACCCGTGGTATCGTTTTACTTTAATTTTTTAAAAAAGTTTTTTTTCACGAACAACAATAAACGCGACGCGCGCGCGCGAGAGAGAGAGAGAGTTGCACACACTCGCCTGAAATCGTACATCGTGCAACGTTAAACGCGATTCGAGTTTAAATTACACGTAATTGAAAGGAGATTCGTATGGGAGATGGGGTTCGAGCGTTAACACGCGATGTTTATGGTTTCGCAAACTGTCAAAATTAAAGCGGAACCACTGGGCATCGTGTATACCGCGCACGCTTTATGGAATTCCCGCCGCTCCTTTAACGGCTACGTATTACTATTTAAACGCGACGAACGTGCGCGGAATGAGCTGCTAATTATTCAGGAACCTCTTAAATTCGAAACCTGCCGGAATATGTAAATTCATAATCGCGTGTATAACTTCGAAAATAAACGGAACGCTGCGTTTTACGTCGCGTAGAATAATTGAAACAGGGCGGGAATAACGGTTCCATTCCATCCCCCTAAAATCGTGCTCTTTAACGAGCGAAATAACATTTCGTCTGTTACATCGATGAACAACGCGCGATCGTCGCGGTAATTACCTCGTGCTCTTCTTTGAAGCGTTCTTCATACGTAGAACGAAATTTCTAATTAAAAGAAGACATCGAACACTCTTCTAACCCTTCTTTACCCGTGAAATTTACTACTACTTTTTTCTGCGTCGCTACTTTACTTCTTTTATCAATCTACCAAACACCTTGTAGATCAATAAAAAATCTGTGCAGGAAGAGCAGAAGTTTGCGGAAAAAGGGCGATCATTTGAGAGGAAAGATCCGAGAAAAAGAGGCAGGGTAGAGAGGGTGGTAGCGGCGCTATCTTGTCCAGCATGGAATCCACGTCGTACAGGGTCCTATCGGTTTAATAATACATCTCTAGACCGTTAATCACCGCGTGAAATATAATTTAATAGCTGAGCGAGCGAGGTACCACCACTAAAAATGACGAACGGCCAGGAAACACGCGGCCAGCTCACCAACGCGCTACCATAGTCATCCTCATATACCGTTGGACGTGCAATAACGATAAAGGGTTGGGTGTTCCTGAACGGGGCTTTTGGTGTGGCCGCTCGTGAAAGGCGTACGAGCCGCCTGTACATTACATTCGTCCACTGTGCTGCACTCAATAGCCCCAATTCGCAGGATTCCTTCATACATACAGGGCTACACCCTTCTTTTTTTTTCTTTTTTTTTTTTTCGCTCCTTTTATTCTTCCGTTCGTCCTTCCACGCCTTTTGCTCACGGTGTAATACGAACGCTGCACACGTTCCAACGTATCGATTGCATCGATCTAGCTAAATAGAGATAGATCTACGAGGAAGGGAAAGGATGTGGAATCGACGAGAGGTCATCGAATCTACCTTGTTCTGGCTATGTGACACATCCACGAAATCGGGTTAATGTCGACGACAATGACCACGATCCTCGTCCAACGAAACCGTTCACGGGCAATCTTCCTTCCGGTACGGAGCCGCGCTTTTTATCGACGGCGAATCGACAATTGCGGAGGGCTGGTCCCGCTGTAATCGACCTCCGCGTACACCAAGGTGTTCATCCATGTCCCGGAACTCTCGTTACAATTCTTTTAACGAGCACTTTTTATCCACCTGGATACGGGCGTTTGTTATAGTACACCGGGGAAAGCTATCCTATTGCTCAGCGTTTTGTTACGCCTTTTTTTCTCTATTCTACAAGTCTGTCGCTACTTAAATTGTACACCTGATCATGTGTCGAAGCCAGGGATTGTTCGGTAGGGACAGAGGAAATTCAGAATTTCGAAAATTCTTGGTAGAAATGTTTATTACTCCTTACATTTGTTTTCTTTTTTTCTTGGAATCTTTTATTTACCTTTTATCGATGGTATATAGTGTCACGAAGAATTTTTACCGGTGTCTTTCTCAACGTTGGAGACACCATTACTCGATCGTTCCATGGTCTGACATAATTAACGTCTTGAAAGGGGGTGGCAAGCTATGCGAGACGTCCTATAGTCCATCGTAATGGCTATAAATAAAGGTATCAGCGTGGCCGTGAACGAGCTACTCAATCGTTCCGACGCGACTCGATACCCTTCTTCCAGACTTCCCCAGTTTCTATATAAATTGCCGAAATATCCACACGAGCTGCCGAACGTGAGCCACCGCGTAGCAGGGGTTCCTTAGACGGGGTAATAAAAATATAAGGCGGCGTTTTATAGGCTGACGTCGTAGTTTGGTCGAAAAGCGGTCGGTAAACGCCATTAGCGATGGCTACGAATGATGCTCGAACCGGTACAATTCCTCCAAATCTAACTTTCATTCCCCAACATTTTTTCCCAATTTTTTAAACATTCAATTCTCCATTCTTTCTCTCACAAGGAATAATTAAACATCGAATGTGAAAAAGAACAATCTATGAGACTGACACGAAACCATCGCTACCAGTCCACGATCGAAAACGTTTGAAAAGTAATTTCAGAGTTCCATTTAGGACAGCTCCCAGAAACCGTAACCCTACGTTTCCCAGGAACGACATTCGACCGTGTAGTTCGTAAATCATTTTTTGATTTCGTAACAACGATATTAGAGCTGAGGAAGGGAATACTCGTTCCTCCGCCCGTTAAACATTTCTCAATTTACGAGAGCAGAAGCGCCGTTGTTAGCGCAATGCTCACTCGAGACGTAGTAGAGAAGAGGCTCGGCCTCCGACGTTCTTCAGGCTCGTGGTCAAAGCGACTTAATGCGAGACGATGAAATATTTATACGCGGGGAGCGTCCTTATTTGGATTTCCTCCACGCAAAACCGACGATACTTGCGCAATCAAATTCTGACGAGCTATTAACGCGAGTGAGGTCCACAAAGTGGAAGGAGGGGACTGCCTGTTCGTGGGAATAACGCGGAGAGAAGAGGAACTTTAGCTCGCGACGAAGGTTTCCCTGAAAAAGGTTCGTTAAACGTATTCGTTTCTTTGTTCGTGTTTAACGTGTAAGAAAGGACACACACGACGGCCAAGCTGGCGTTATGTCATTCATGGAAGATGTAAATTCTGTGGAAGAACTTCATTTTCATCTATCTTGCTTTGTCCGTGTCAAGCAAAGAGCGCGCGCGCAGAGTCAGAAGAGGCTCTGAAAAATAGACGTTCACCTTTAACGATACATAATACTTCGAAACGGCGAACAATATTTCCCGCCACGTGGCGTCGTTACAATGAGAATAAATTTCCATTTTGAGCAAGCAGAAGACACTGTATATTAAAGTGTGTTCCCTTTAAAACTTTCCTCCGAAGACTCGAGTGATATATTTTAGACTAAAAGTTTCCCTCGCGGAAGAGAA